GATGCGTTCTAAGATCACTTTACTTATTTTATCAATCTCCAATCTAGTTGGATTAATAATTCTAGTGGGTAATTTATGTTGAAATTCAGATTTGTTATCTTTTAATAAAGATTATTAAAAATAATCTAAAATAATAATAAAGATTATTTTAATAATTAGGCCTCAATAATCACTCCTCTTATGTTATATTACCTTTATATAAACATTTTAATATTATTCTTAGTGGTGTATCCTTGATTAAGATATTAATAAGTTTGTATTCATAAATTACTGGTAGTATCATTAGCCATGAACTGACTTATTATTATTTTACTTGTGGTTGTCTCATAATAGTTTTTAATTTAGTATCTAAATGTTTAAAATTTCTTATATAAAAGTCATCTAAATGTTTAAAAATAAATTTTTATTCTAATTAATAATGTAAGGTCAGTATAGTTAAGTAGTTGTTTTATTTGTATATGGTTTTTCTTCTTAAAGTGTCTTATTTATGTACTATGTTGAATTTTGTTGGAATATGTGATTTCATTCAAAATATCAAAGTTTAAATTGCGACATTGTATCTGTAATATGTTTCCTATCTTGTCACATTATATTTCTGTTCAATTTTGAATTTTCTGTCTTCATTGGCTAAATCTGGTATCTTTTCTTTCCATTCTCTTTGTAGTAGGGTTGATTTCTTCTGCTTTATGCCTTTCTTTTTCTCTCTTCATTGATTTCTTATTTTCTTTCTTTTCCTTTTATGGAATGAATACTTTTTTTTTTGTATATATTTGTTTCTTCTATGGAAAATTTCCAAAAATGTAAAAGAAGTGATGTTTCATAAATAATATTTTTAAATAAAATCATTTATTACCATCATTGTTAACCGCTTAACAAGACATCTTGGATGTCGAAACAAATACGCATTTTTGCCACAGTAACTTGCATGTTCCATTTTAACAGTTTATATATATATATATATATATATATATATATATATATATATATATATATATAGCTTCTTTGGGTATAAACATAAAAATAATTTGCAAATGGAAAAATAGTAGCAAAAATTCAACATTTCATACACTTTTGGATTTTGATTTCAATTTTTACCTAACTTTGTTCTGATTCTTGTCCCAGAAGCAGTTCAGTTCATGTTCCAGGTTTACTTTAACAAGATTATTGTGATGAAAAGAAGTTATGACAAATCCATAATTATACACACCTTGACATTTTGACAGGCAGTGCTGGACTCACCATTTCTGAACATTATATATATATTTTTCATGGAGTACGAGTTTATATACTGAATGGAATGATAGGCATTTACTAGGTCTAACTAGAGCATGTAGGAGAGATTTTCTTTAGTATTTTTTCTGTCCTTCCATATTGTTTTTACATGCTTGAGAAAACCAAGAATTCAATATTTTGCACCAATATATTTATTATTTATCAGTTATTCTTTTTGTTAGTATGAAGAAAAGGACTTGTTTAGCAATAAAAATTGTTAAATATAAATTAGTTCAGCATGAAATTACTTATTTTAGCATAATTGAAAAAAAATCTATAGGAAAATAATTACATATATATATATATATATATATATATATATATATATATATATATATATATGGATTTTATGTCTACTTTTTAAGGGCATTAATTTGTCAACTGACTTAAAAAGATTTTTGACTTTGCAACATGAATTATTATGTAGTAAGTACACCAGTTTCTATTCAGCAAAATGAATAATGTTTAAATTTTGAATGCATTATTTGAAGTGGGTCAATGTATGTACACTGTCTCGCCTCTTTGATAGTAACCAAATGCATGGAAGCACACCTATTCCAATCACTCCTCATAACCATCTGTAGATGGCTCAGTTTATATTGTCTTATCAACATACATCTATTGTTGCAGTTTTTTGGTTTATTATCTAAAATTCATTTTTTTATCAAATATAGTACAAAACTAGATTTTATATTACTGAACATGGTAAATGCACATCTTCATATATCTGATATAATTCCTTCATTCAAATGAAACTATAAAACTTGAAAAAATAAAATCTTCAATTATTCAAAATAATTCCAAGTAAAGTTCTGCAAGAAATACAATTTTCCATCACAGCATTCATTGATGATTTTGCCCAACTTTTCTCCTGGTGTTCTCAACCAAAATCTCCAATTGTAATTTTTTTTTTTTAAGTTAAAGACTGTTCACAAACAGTATTGTCATTATCTTTTTGGTGGAATTTTTGAAATGAGGAATTATCATTATGCCTTGCTATTTGGATATTATACACACAACATTTCAGCTGTTATACCCTTCAGATGCCTACCATTGTACTTGTTAATAATTAGGCACCTTATTATAATTGTTACTAAGTGTAACAAAACATTTAATTCCTTAGTTAGCTGTGAGTTCAATCCCTGGGTTCAGTAATGCTGAAAAATCACATTCTCGGGTTCAGTGGAAGAAACAGACAAACACCACAAAGGTGCTCAGTATTAACTAATATAAATATCCTTTAAGCAAGGAAATCCTGTGGATTAAATAAAGGGTTCAGTTAAAAAGACATTGAATATGAAGACATACATTGAAGACTGCTAGATTGTACAGCTAAAATATTCTTAGAACAACCAAGGTGAACATGATAGCCTGAATAGCAAAGCATATAGAACTGTCAAGTGCAGGATTTAGATTTCTTGTAGCTTCAGTTTTTTTGATGGCCCAGTTTGAACTTATGCAATGCAAATATAAACTGAAAAGCTTTCCATATTACCATAAAAAATAAAATGAAAATATATCTATATTTTTCAACTCCAGAGAAAGCTAGAATTTAATAAACTGAATGAGATACAAGTGACTGTTTAAAAGAAAATGGCATAAATGTCACACTAAAAAAGAAAGCAATTTCATAATGAACACAAACAGTGCATCTTTGCAATTGACTAATTAGTCACTAACAGAACATAAATAATTCTTATACTTAAATGAAAGGTTCAAGTGACTGTATAATAATGGATGGTACTTTAAAGAAACCTGTAACAGCAAGCATTAAATTTCATTTTTATTCATTGCAACTAAAAATTTACAAAATTTTATTGGTTACTCAATGAGACATTTAAAAATGACAATTTTTTAAAAATAGAACAGTTAAAAAAGAAAGTGGAATATGTATTGAAGTATACATAAAAAATCTTCAAAATATCTGATTTTTGAAAAAAAAGAAAAATATTTTTTTAGATGAATTGAATACTAGAAATAAATATTTTAGAGATGAATTGAAAACTAAGGAAAGTGATGACTGAAGAATTAGTACGTGTGAAAATTTTAAAAAAATTAATTAAGATTGCTAACAATAAAGGCAAAATCTTCCACTGAATTATTTGATAAAGACAAAATTACAAAAGCAGCCATAAAAATGATTTTTATGGAAATATAAATAACTACATGAAGTTTTGTGGAGGCTGACTGCATTTTACTTGGCTGGAATAAAAAAAAAAGAAAAAAGTAACGCACCTGTGCTTTCTTACATCACAGGATCAAATTATCATGCACATTAACTTTAACAGTCTCATTTTCAAATCTCACTAATTTTTCTTAGCTAGATAAACTTTTTCTTCTATTAATTTATTTTTGAAATAGAAAGTTGAAAAGAAGTATGTCATAGATTTGCTGCAGATCAAACCAGTAATAATTGCTCTCTACTACTTGAATAGTGCATGTACAGTACAATTTGTCATTGATAGATAAATAAAAAAAAAACACTATGTTCAAATTATAATTTTCCTTCAAAATTTCAGTAAAAGATACACCAAAGGCACATGTTGATTTCCTGATGGTGAGTATTTAAAAAAAAAAAACGTGTACCTTGCTTGCCAGTTTGTCATGTATCGAATCACTAACTAAAAAAGCAAACAATTATTTTACATGAGTTTACTTTTTGTAAGCAATTGTGTTTTCCAAAGGAAATTTACGGATGTATGTGAAGATGCGTGTAGAAAGTAGCATCTGAAAAAAAAAAAACTTACGTTGAAGTGCGGTTGCAAATCGTAAAAAAAAAAAAAAAAAGAGATATTTTATCGATGTTTGTTAGGTCACCTTCCATCCTAAAATAAATACCAAAGTTGGTAGAAAAAAGTATAAACGAATCCAACAATCCCCTTGCCTTAATTGTGTCTTGGTTTCAAACATTAAAAAAAAAAAAAAAACACCATTGGCATTAAACCTTAAATATCGGTCAATTATCACAGAAATGTTTAACATTTTTTACTAGTGAAAAGTAAAACTAACCATTTAATTTTTTAGATGATCATGCATAGAGCAAAATGTTAGCGATCTAACAAAAACGGATAAGGCAGATTACATTATTAATTCAAAATTATATTAGACCTGTTTTAAGTTAAACAGACTCAACAATTTATTAATTAACAACAGACAAACTAAAACCATACACATCTTTGGCGCGTTTAGTGAATTGCTAAGAAACCATAATTTAGTAAAAAATTTAATCAACGTGCGGAATATATAAATTTTAATCTATTTCTTATGAAACATTATTGTCTCTCTAATATTTTATCATAAAATTTATCAACGACCAACCAACATTGGCCAAAAAAAAAAAAATGAAGCTTACCTCCTTCTTCGGCCATGTTTTCAGTTTTACCAACTTATGCTCTGTAAGTTACGATTTGATTGGACAAGAAACCGGTGGTTATTGAAAAAACAATTTTGATTGGTTGATAAGCCACCACCAGAATCGTTGATTCCAAAGTCGTATTTTTTACTTTTCTTCCCCCCATTCAATTTAGCGGTGTGTTATTGTAAAAATCCAGTAAAAAAGAAAAAAGAAGAACCTTCTTTCCGTTGTCTCCCCTTGGCCGGTTCGATCCGAAAACAACTGGAATCGACTCTTAAGAGTTTCTAAATTCTCCAAATTATCAAAGATAGAGCAATTTTCTCGGAAGCGACGGCACACGTGCCGCGTGTGCGTTGAACAGTCTGCTATCGCAATGGCGACGACGACGACCACCACCACCTCTGACAGTACCACAGTAGTCAGCAGTAGCGCTACTACAATTAACAAAGAGAGGTTTACCGATAAAACCTTGGAAGAGGAAGACATGAGGAACGCATGCAGCCCACCACCCAAACCTAGAGGCTCAGTGCCGGATCACAGTGCCTCACCTAATCTTACGAAACGTAAGAAGGACATGGAGAATTCCAGAGACGGTTCCTGTTCCATGTTCAAACGTGAGTAAAGGAAAAGTTGACTGTTCGGTGTTTGAGATGAAGTGTTTACTAAAGTTACATTTTATTTGTTTAAAAATTGAACTAGTTCTCTTTATTCAAATAATCGATTGGGTATTAATTTTTTTTTCAGTTTAAAATATATCTATTCTTCTCTAACGCTGAATATTAAGCACATGTTATGTGATGATACCACAATAAATATTTACATAGGATGGAGCGAAGTCGAATCATTTTTTTCAGTTTGCTTGACATATTGTTGCTACATTGCCTTCCTTTTATTGTTCTTCCTTATTAATTGCATTGATTTTTATAATTAAAAATTGATTTTTTTTTCTTTTTGTGAAAAAAAATGGTTTTAATTTTTAATTAAAATTTACTCTCCCATATTACTTTTTTTTTTTTTTTTTTTGTAATGCTATCTTGGTCCATATTTATTTGATCTGTATTTTTTTTGGCGGAAGGATGAATCATGTCTTGATCTATAAACCAGGGTTTTTCCTTTTCCAAGAAACGAGGAATTTACTTACACTATTTTCCTTTAAGAATATATAATAATTAAAAATGTTTATATGCATTTCTGATAAGTGGGTCTCCGATCATGATTTCTAAATTGATTGATAAACTGATGACTGAACATTTGCTCACTTGGCTTCATGTTTGGGATTACGCCTATTTTTGTTGTTAATCAACATTTAAATTTTAAATCTTAAACTGAATTCCCGTAACTATAAAATAAAATAAAACCATATCATTTTACGGCAGTGTCATAAGTACAAATAAAGCGGAATATCGCAAGACAGGGAGGCGTGTTTGATCACGTGACTATCGTAAAATGTTCTGAAAACGACGATTTCAAAGAACTAAAAAGTAACTTATATTTTTTGTTTTCTAATGATTATTTTATTTTTAAAGTGTAGTAATCAGAGTTAACATTACTGTCTTTAGTTTTTTTTTTTTTTAGCTAAAGTATCCACAAAAAATACACGGCAAAAACAAGTGCTATTTATTTATTTATTTTTTTCATTCAAAAACGGTAAAACGAAAAAAAAACATTGGCATTGCGAAATTCTTCTGTTCAATACTTTTTCAGTAAAAAAAGTTATTTTTTCATCCAACATAGTCAAGCAAGTTAAGTTTGTCCAGCGCATAAATCCGATGTGTATATTTTTTTTATTTTACACATACATGTGGAAATAAACATTAAAAACGCAAAATGAATTTGTCAAATAAATTGCTATTGCTTTCTAACTGATAATTTATATACTCTCACAAAAACGTGTTTTTTATTTAAATTTTATTTCTTTTTCAAAACCTCATTTCATTTCTGATCTCGAATAATTGAATGATTTTGTTGAGTGAGTGTCCTGATTGCTTCATTGGCTGAAAGTGAAATAGGTAGTTTTTTTTATTTACTTTTTAGTTTTCCAGTGTTTTACTTTTAAAAGTCCAACTCTCCCTAGTTGGAAAATTGTCACCACATCGACTTTATCTTTATTTTGATCCCTATGGTCTACGTTCCTAAGCAAAAAGCATCGGGCCGGAGAGAGTCACTGTAGTGTTGTTTAGTTTTAAAAATTGCAATATCTAGTAAAGTTTCAGTTTTAAAAGGATTTAGCATTTAACAATATATTTCTATTCATTTTTTTAGCGTAGTTTGAACATTTCCTATTTCTTAATCCGCGGCCGACTACTACTTTTTTTTTTTTTTTTTTTAATAAAACATGTAAAATGGTTATAAAAATAACCGCAAACCGTTACTTTTTAAAAAAAAAAAAATAAAGCGTTGATTTTTAGAATTAATCAAACTTATTGCATTGTTCTTGCTATGTTGCTGGATATCGGAAATTTTGACTCTTGACTGGTATATTTTTTTTCACTTAAGAAAGGGAAACAAATATTGAATTTGCAACTCAATTGTTTATCTATGCGGAAGTAGTCTCTAAAAAAAAAAAAGTGAATACAATACTCACTGTGTACTACATTTCATTAAAAAAATAGAAATAATAAATTTTTCTGTGATATCACTTCTAAAGTATTTTTTTTTTTTGTCGTATTTTTCCTTAAAAGTACGAACATTACCTTGGTTCAATCCTCTATTCAACTCTTGCTTCCGAACATCGTGTCACCATAGGTGTCTATCTGTTTAATAAAAACTTGATTGATATGGATGTTTTATTTCTATATAAAAAAACAAAACAAAAAAACACATTTTCTAACACTAGTATTTATATACTATTTAAAAACTAAACAAAATATAAATTTGTTGACACTAAAAAAAAGAACAAGGTAAATAAGCTAGAGAGAGTTGGAGTCGCGAGTAGAAGTATTTATGTTACGGTTGGTTAGCGAGCCAGTATAATTTCTAATATTCCCACGCCTTCAGTTTTTAAAGAAATTCATAAAATTTGTTTTATACAATTTATTTCTCATTGATAACTATGTCCATAAATACGACATAGCGGAGTTATTTTACCGTTTCTTAGAATTTGTTTTTGCTTCACTGATGACTGTCCGTGGTGCCAAAAATGGGTCAACTCATCTCAAGTCAAAAAAATGAACCAAGTGGTTTCTAACTCTTGTCGTATGTATCTCGGTGTATTTTTTTTTTTTTTTTTTTTGTTACTATTATTATAAATATATTTAAGTTTAACTACTTTATACACCTGATTTACTCTTATGACTTTATTTGATCGTTAAACGTTAAAACCATCCTCTTCGCTCCTGTCTTTTTTTGCACAGGGAAAAGGTTTAGAAAATTTGGCACTCGTAGAACAAGAAGACATAAGGGTCAGAGAAAAGCAGAGCATAACCTACCTAAGGAGCGTGTGTCTACAGAACAGGGATTAGGAGAGAGATGAATGAAAGAAAGAAAGACAATCCTTTACTAAGAAGAGCTACAAATGACCAGGAGCTACGGAGAGCCATGATCGCCCACGCCCTGAAGAAATACGCTACAGCACATAAGTGTAATTGAACCTCCTCTCCCACTTAATTGTTGGATGTAAATGATATTAGAGACCAATTTTTTTTTTTTTTTTTTAAGCGTTTAACCCGAAGCAAGGCGGAAAGCCACTAGGACGCAAGGGATTACAGAAAATTTGGAGCAAGATCAGATAGGACTGATAGAAGAAAGGATGAGGAGAAGAGTAGTGGATAGATCAAGGCAACTGGAGATACAGAGAGAGAGTGAGTACCGGAAACCCCTTCCTAAACAAGAAACAAGGCATAAGCCTCTACTCATGTCCAAAGAGAAGGGGGAGGAGTGTTGACCGGGTGGGAGGAAAGCCTACCTACTCCTATTACATATAACACATACAGCTACAACAACAACAAAAACGGAGGTAACGATGAGAGGGGGGAGGTAATTTGCAAAGAGTCCGGAGTATAAGTCCCATTGTCTATTCTAAAAAGAAATTGAAGAAAATAAGGTTATCCGGATTTATTGCCATGTCATAATAAATGCCCCAACATACGTGGCAGCGAGTGTTAGTCCGCTTTCTTCCTCATGATAACAAGTGAATGTACAGCTTACCTTAAGTCCAAATCTTACCATTGTTGAATATAGAGATTTTTCTTTTAATGGATTGGTTAGTGTTGTGAACTTTCTTTATTTTGAACATCTTAGTTGTGTGTGATAAGGGAATCCTGGAAGAGGATTATTAGTTGTTTTTAAAAAAAATTGTCTTTATCACTTATTCTTTTTCTCACACAGACAATTAAAATGGCAATTTTGCTCTGTCTCTTCAAAATTTTCTCATGTTTGCTTCTATGCTAATCTTTGCTCCACTTCAAAAGTTATTTTTTTTAAATTTTTATTCTAAATAATGTTTAATGTCTCCCCCAGGGCTCCATCCTTGGTCCTACTCTGTTTTTTTTTAATTTTCATTAATGACCTTCCCAATGACATCAGCTTTCAGCTTGGTATCTACTCTGATGACACAGCCATTTACTCCTGCCTCAATAGTAAGACTGATTGGTCCAAAAAGTTCAAAATGGCAGCTGATGTCTAAAACGACCTAAAGACTGGGGCAAAAGATGGCTTGTTAATTTTAATGTCTCCAAAACTAAACTTCTTTCCATTAATCATCTGAGGGAACCCTCTCTGCCTTCCATCAGCATGGCTGATGCTCACCTCTAGAAAAGTGACTTATGGCTTCTCAAGCTAATGTTATCAGTTGACATGAAGTGGAATGACTATATTGAATCCATTGCTCAATCAGCTGCTAAGAAAGTTGATTCATTGTGTTGTGCAAGACAATTTTTCTTTAGAATCCATCTTACATGTCTATAAGTCTACCATACATCCATACTTAGAATATTGCTGCCACATATGGTCCAGTGTCCTTGTGATTTTCCTTGAGCTCCTTGATAAAATCTAAAGAAGAATCACCAATATTATTGCTCCTGATCTAGTGACTCTGCTTCAGTCACTTTCCCACTGCCGTAAGGTTGCCTGTATGTGCCTTTTGTTTATAAATACTTTCATTATTTGGATATGCGCTATTTGCTATAGTAACTGGACTTTTTGAATTTGTGCAGAATTAGATTGACGTCAAGATCTTATCAATTTGCAGTTGAGCTGACTAGATGTGACTGTAAATATTATGCTAACAGTTTTTTTGTAGCACTTCTTGCTTGTGGAACTTCCTTCTAGCTCCATTCTTCCCAGTGAACTTTAATCTGCAAAAATTTAAGTGCAATGTCAATTGCTGTCTACTGTCCTGATTACACTTTCCTCTTCCTGCTCATTATTAATGTTTCTGTTCTGACAGAGAGTGTGAAAGAATTAGGAACAGAAACAAATAATCTGATTTGATACAAACATTACTTAGTGTTTATTTAAGGTGTTAACAGGTTTCTTGTGTCTTAGTGGCTTTACTGTCTTGCATGGGGTGGTTACAATTTTTTAAAACAAAATTTTAGGATATCTAGGTAAGGAATATATATTTTTATTTTTTATTTATTTATTTTTTTTTTTTTTTTTGAAAATAAGACCATCC